CTAGTCACTACACCACCCACCGTCCAACTCTTGGCGTACTCTTTTACCTAACGAATAGTGGGAGTTGACCGGTACCACACTTATAACGCCCCACGGCGTGAAGGGCGAGCATGTTTGGTGTGATGGGGATTCGAACCCGCGACCCACAGATTGCGAGTCGAGTGCCTTAACCACCTGGCCATGCCGGGCCCTTTAGCTTGCACTGGAGTTCTTTTCTTCATGTCATCAAAGGTTTTTATTGGTGACTTGCTGATTGAAATTGCTGTAACTATTTATGGATAACACTAACAATAAACGCTGACTTCTTTTGTCCTACGTCAATTGCTCTTAAAAGTGATGTTTGTCAATCTTGTGTTGCATGCAACCCACTCAATATGTTGATAAATGAAACCAAGGCATGATCTACTACAATGTAGATTGGTAACCATCTTGAGTAATCTGTGCAATTAGTCACAAACCAGTATAGTAGGAGCTGGGTTTGTGTATGTAGGTGCAAATCCCAGTTTCTGGTATTATCTACTACTATGTTTGAAAGCAGTATCTGAACAGCATCGATAAAAATGTTCCAGTAATGGAAAGTTGGTGATTGTTCACTGTTGACTTGTTAGAAATCATCAAGTAATTCTTGAAGGTATACGCTGACACAATCTTATAGTTCAAGAAGATGCTGCTTTACATTTGCCATGTCCAACTGAACAGCAGTTTTTTGCATCATTCACATGTTTCTAGAACACAGAAGGAATATGTTGAAGGTAATTTTCTTTCTGACACCAATAAAAGAAAACAATTATGAAATACCTCATCAATGATTCACATACCAGTGTCAGTCCACGAATGGTACGTTTGTATTGCTTTCCCATAAGTACTTGGGAGACTTGCTTGAATCCACTAATAGATAATGGAGACCTTCATCACCCCATAACCACCTGATAGCAGCAATGAAACACCACCGTGTATGGAGCTCTCCAAGATTCAAGATGTGACGTTCAAACTCATGAGGCAAAGTTCACATAAGTTGTTTTGCGATTGCATGCAACTGTTGATCCATTATCTGGATGGAGTATTCTTGTCCTATGCTTTTAGACGTATCAACATTTTTCTTCATTGTAGTGCATATAGTGGACATTTCAGAAAGCTTTGAATTGATTATAGGTACATAGGCTATTGCAGTATGAGCAGTATGTTCTGGTGAGAAGAGAAAATAAAACCTCGCCCAAAACAGTGCTATGATATATCTAAAAGGAAAGAAAATCTTCTTTAAAACAGAACACTACCATCATCTCTTTACAAATGTTTATTAGAATATTATTTATATACATGTATACTTTCTAAAAATGACTCATAGTAAGGGTTTGCAATCCATAATTGTTCTTGTTTCGTGGCATTATTTTATTTGTATTTCTGATCTGGACTCATTCATATTGAAATGAACCATACATATTATATAAAATGTATTCTCTATTGCTCATAATTCGAAAAAAAGAACCCGGCATGGCCAGGTGGATAAGGCGCTCAACTCTCAATCTGAAGGTCGCAGGTTTGAATCCCCGTCCCACCAAACATGATCGCCCTTTCAGCCGTGGGGGCGTTA